CAAACACCCGTGACGGTTGAGCAGATCCAAAACAGCCGCAGTCCTGAAGTAATTGCAGGAGTGAATCACATTTTCAATCAGTCAACTCTTTCTGGAATCTTACAATTAAGGCCCAGCATTTCTTCGCAAATTTGTGTCCAAGGTCCAGGAGTGAGCAACAGACAAAGTCCAGGCTCTGAGGAACCGGGTCTCCTCGGAGCATCCTTCACAGCAAGGTAACTAATTATTTCAGCATGTCACGGGAGTCATATGTCCTCATCAAATGGGAAATGATTTTCAGAACGTCTGTGTTCTTGGATTACTTTTTTAGTATAGTTTGTGTGGCCCCTGCCGCTGAAGTCGAGTCTCTGGCAGAACAAATGGCCAAGGTGAAGTCTGGAGTCTGTCAAGACACGAACCGAGCCAACTAGAATCTCCACTTGTCTGTCTCCGTCGCTGAGATAACCGTGCAGTTCCACGGTTTTAAATATTTCAGCAGTACAGAAAAAAAGGGCATGGATTTAAAAAAAAAAAAGGAAAGCGAGGAGAAACTATAGGCAGCATGGAATATCACTTAGTTTTTCAATGGAAAATACGGCTCAGGCGAGGCCGTGTTTGGCCAACTCCATCCAGTGAGAGATGAGGAGTCACAAAATGTGATCCGATTATTTGTAGAATTTTTTTTTTACAGTGAGCCATCTGACAGGGCCACACTGAGGTCCGGAGGCAGAGGGAGGACAGGAGCAGGGGTGGGGGCAACTTGTTGGGTGTTTGACTGATTTACTGACTGTGTTCTGATCGATTCTGACTGAAGGTGGAGCCACATGATACAGGGCTGTCCAACAATAGGCTGCATTCTGTGGCATTACTGGCTGGGGAGCAGCTGCTGTCAACATGTTTATTTCAGTGTCTCACATCATTTCTTTTTTTTGGTCTCCATATCAATTTTTATTCCGTCTTTTCCAGACATCAGACGGGTCTTGGCCTCAGATTCACACCCTAGTTCAGGTTCAGGTGGTATAGTCATCAATATACATGAAAGAGAAGTGAGGCGATGCCCCAAGGACAAGGACACACCTAGGGAGTGTAGATGAATAAATTCAGTTTTCGTCTGGCTGAGATTTGACACTGCAGCAGGCCTCAGTCGTCTCCCCTACAGTCTTGTTAAGTGCATCCCATATACCACTATAATGGATGCACACTAGCACATGGGTGGAAACATGTACAGAATATTGTAATCCCATTGTGGGTGAAGGAACTAAAGCTAAACGCCCAACATCCTCTTTAAGGTAACAAAAATACACAGGAGACAGCAAATGAAGGAGCCCAAACCACTAATGGTGTGTGGTCGACACAGCTCCCTACAGTGTACTTTCAGCTCTTCCACTGGTTTGTCATTATTAGTCTGTTTTGCTCCCAAAAAAAACAAAAACCCAATGGACTTGCGTGTCATAAACAAACATCTCCTGCGTTGCGTGGTACACTCCAGGGCCTACGGGTGCAATTAGGTCTGGTGACATCAACAAGAGAAAACACCAAAATGGCAGTCTACAGAGTGGAACGTCCACAAAGTGATTAATGTGTTCCAAAAAGTAGCAACACAAACACAGGTGCTCATGAAATGCAGCTATTTAGAGAGGATTATTTTTACACAGACATGTTTTGGGCTTTAAAGCTGCTCTTAATGATGTTTTTATAACCTCACTATTTGACACCTTTTCTTCAAGGAAATCATTTCTTTAATTTTTGACATTAGCTTATTGCATGAAACCATGAATGCATTATCTCTCCCTCTCGATCCTTTTCAGGGTTGTGTGGAGAGCTGGAGCTGGAGTTTATCTTCATGGACAACAGGCCAAGGTAGGACAATTCACACATAGACCAAAGAGCCACATGTAGAGACGAACAACTATGTCAATTTTCCACTAGTAAATCAAGTATCCTGGTCACATGTTACAAAGACAATTCCTTTAAGCAGCTAAAATCTATTATTTCATGTGTTATCTTGCGCACACTTTAAAAAAAAAAAAAAAACGTGCCATAAAAAAACTCACCATCAAAACTTATACACAAAATATAAAATGTCCTCGGTTCCATTTTGAGGTTTATTCATTGCCTTGACCAAGTAACATCAGGTTTTATAAAAGAAACTTTACATAGGAGCAAACTGGACAATACAAGAAGATATGCATTTGGTCATTGGATCGAAAATCCAGTCTCTATCAAAACAAACAAACAAACAAAAAAAGAAAAATCTGGTTTTATATAACTTAACAATAAAAACAACAAACTATGGTCACCACTTTCTTTGTCTGTACAAAGTCTGTAACAATAATTTATAGGTCTGTGTAGGTTCTCAGTCATCCAGGTCATTTAAAACCAAAAATAGTTACATGGAGGGCAACTGGACGAAGCAGGCGTTTTTGAAGACGTTTCACCTCTCATCCCAGAGGCTTCTTCAGTTCTGACTGACCAATGGGAAATTCTGGTATTTGGCCTCAAAGGGGCTGCATACCTGTAATGAGGGTCATTGCAGAAAGGGGGGATGGAGGTGTGGTGGACCGACTAATAGTTACACCTGGGCGGATTGTGAAGTCACAAGGTTAGAGGCATGAATGGGGAGTGATACCATAGCTATGGACTAATAGTTACACCTGAGCGCCACTTTTGGCTTGGTGTTGATAGAGGAGGTGGTTTGAGACACAACCTTTCATCCATAATTTCACCTCCTTAGAAGAGGGTGTGTTCCACCACACCTCCATCCCCCCTTTCTGCAACGACCCTCATTACAGGTATTAGTCAGAGACCCATTGGTCAGTCAGAACTGAAGAAGCCTCTTGGATGAGAGGTGAAACGTCTCCGTCCAGTTGCCCTCAGTGTATAACTATTTTTGGAATCATTTACAGGCTTTTTTTTTCTCCACACTGGTGCTTCTAGTTTGTCAGCGTGGTTGTGAAAGCAGGGTTTCTGCTGAGGAACTGCAAGTACAGAACCTTGGCTGGAGAAAACTCTTTGTTAGTACCCGGAGCGTCTGTGCTGGGGTAGTGACGTACTGCAGGTAGAGACAACAAAGGCCTCCTTCTCTCACTCTGCCTCTTCCCAGTGAACTGGTATCATGTGAGGTGTGAGGGTCGCGAGTGGTCCAGAGGTTGAGAGGTGGGATTAGAAACACAAGGAGTGAGCCCCGGCACTGCCCCGCTGCTACCCTTCCTGGATAAAAAACACATGTGGGAGCCTACAGCCCCCACTGAATAAGCAAATAATGCCTGGGGACTGGCTAGTGCGATTCATTTCATCATAATTCCATAGGCACGCTAACAGGAAAAATATGCTTTTGTCCTTCAATTTTTTTTATCTGCTTCTCATCACCTTTACATTAAATTACATCAGCCTTCAGTGGAGCCTGTGTTTGCTGATTGAAAACCAACCAAAAAAACTGTAACCACAGCAAGTAAAAGAAAAAAAAAGTTTGCACATTCGTGACACAGAAAAGGTCAAAATGGCAGCTTAATTTACCCCTACGTCATCACACGTCCTTGACCACAAACATAGTCTGGGTTGTCAGAAAAAAACAAAACAACTTGCGACAGAGTGTACATTTTGACACACATAAACAGTACCTTGAAGATATACGTAAAATTAAAGTCGGCACAGAGAGCCAACTTCAGTTACTTCCATAAGTCTAACAGTTTGTGAAGCCGTCATCCCGCACTGTAAACGTGTTTACCATATGCACTTCCTTAAAAAAAATATTTTTTTCCCCACCGGATGACAAAAGAAGCTCTTAATGCCTTATGGTATAGTCAAACCCAAACACACAGAAACAAAATGACCTCACATAAACAGACTTACGAAAACCAAGACTTTGAACACTTGCTCGGCCGACAACGAGATAATACTGGAGTGTGTTTGTGCAGACAGAAAAGAGAAGCCAGGGGAAGAGAGTCAAACTTTAAAGTCCTCTGGCTTCTTGTAAACTGCAATTTAAATATAATGCTAAACAGCTGAGGAGGTTGGGGTTCAAAAGGCTGGGGAGCTGGAACTGGTGCTGGCTTCTTTTTTTTTTTTTTAATTCTTCATTCACTCAGGACTATCTTGTTCTGAGCACAGGGAAAGGGAAAAGGCATCATGTCCACAAACAACACTGATATGACAAAGAAAAAAAACAAAAACGTCACTTCTACGTCACGGCGTTCTCCTCCTGAAACAAAGACGCGCTCGGACCAATGAGGAGCAGCCCGTGGATCGACGTAGCTCGTGTGTCACTGCTTGGGTGAATGTGATTTCATTTAGGTCCAACTTGGCATTTGTGCACGTTTCGCCAAGCCGCGATAAGAAAGGAGTCCTTAATGAAATCTAAGGCCGAGATGTGGGCACGGCAGAGAATGTTGGCTTCTTATCAGCTGTTCACGTTCGAGCCACTTATCTACTGTATGTATCCAACAGTGCAGTTGGGCTGCCAGAGACAAGAGGCTGGCTGAGACTAAACAGTGTTCAGCTTACAGTCAAAATGAAGACTCCAGTCAAAACAAGAACAGAGACTCAATGCTGGGCATTCACTGAGCGACTGACTACGGGTGTGAGAGTGTTATTCGAGTTCATCAGTGCCTCATATGGTGAGCTCATTCACTTTTTAAGGCACTGGCCAATCTAGCATTTCTGCGAGCAATCATTAAAATTCTTCTTCAAAATATTTCTTCATTTGTGTTATTTCCAAAGAGGCACTTCAAGGATCTGCACTTCGCATCGACCACAGTCAGAGCAATATATTGGTCTCAATAACAAAGGCACTTTGGCAAAATAAACATTATTAAAAAAATGCAAGAAAAAATGCAAGAAAAAGAAAATAAAAAAAAAGATTGGTTCAAAAATAACTTAATATTACAAAACATCTCAATGTAGGAAATACTGTAGTAAAACTTTAACCCAGCGAAGAAATTGAAGGTCAAGGCCTCTTTTGCATTTTTAGACACCGATAACAACCGAAAAGAATGAGAGTTCCCTTTGTGTTTCACACTTACTTTGCCACACAGACTCCTCTTCTTCGTCAACAACAGTCCTCTACTCGTGTCCAACAGAGCTGTGTGTTTGCATAGAGAGGTGGGAGGGTGACATCGGGGCTAATACTTCTGCACCAGCGGCACTTTAACAGTCTTGATTTCTGCTATATGGGAGGACTTCTGGATGATGCAGCTGGTGGTCCCCGAGACGCTGTCCTTGCCTTGTGCCAAGTTGGTCAAGGCCATTGCCGCGTTGATCTCCTTCCAGTACGTCTCGTCTTTGCCCTTCACCTTCTCCTTTTGCACAGCGCCAAAGCAACCCCCTCCGCTGATAATCACAGCACGGGAAGCACGGCGAGAAAAAACACACAGAGGAGAAGACGTTAGACGTCAAGCTGCCCTCGTAACGGGCAAAGAAAAACCCCAACAGTTTTTATTTACGTTTCGATGTTGACAGCAAGGTTAAAGAACGTCCACTCACTTGTCACATTTACTTGATCCATGGTCTGTGGTTTCTGTAACACAGGAGGGGGAAAATAGGAGGTTAATGTCTGGAGGGTCAATGAGGATTTATGAGATGTAGTGACATTTAGGTTGATGGAAGTGTGTGTGTGTGGGTGAGTGAGAGAGATAGAGAGGGAGAGAGACACATGCTCCCACACACCCCCTGTCCTCGTGTGTTGCTCTGTTCTCTCTCTTTACGTAGAGGACGGTCAAAAAGGACATTTTGCAAGAGGCTGTCATGAAACAAGGTGACTAATATGATCAAGTTGACAGACGAGTCTTATGACTCACATACTCCGTACTGTAATATTTAGTTCAAAAACAAACGAGCCCCAGCCGGCGCAATTGAGTTGTCGGCAGAAATCAGATTGAAAAAGACTGAGTGTAAAAGATTGGAGGGCGAATGAAAAGGCAGCAAATGGTTCGGTGAGAGGTAATCAGAGGCCTGCTCTCTGTCCACTTTTCTCTCTATCTCATATGTAAAACATTAGCAGGGAATAGCAGAGCCATTAAACAATGAAACCAAACTTCTCTTTGGGCAACTGAAAGTGTTTATTTCAGCGCGCCGCTCGCTCACTGACACACCATGTGCACAGTGGTGTGTTTGCTCTCAACCCCCCCCCTCCACCCCCCCTCTCTCTCTGAGCAGTGTCGCTCCACGCTCTCTAGGTTTTGCCCAAAATGGCACCAAGCTGGCATTTTCAGGGGCATTAAAAGAGAACAGATCGTCTGGATTTTCCTAAGTGTGCAGACGCCAGACGCTACCTTTAAGTTTTCTAAACACACAGCTAAGAGCCTGTGAGCTGTGAGCTGCAGCTGACTCACCGACTTAAAAGATGTTCAGAAGACAGAGGATTTTCTTTAATTCTATTAGGTGCATAGGCGTTTGTTTTACCAAGCCGGGCTTCTCACACTACTCTGTTCTCTCTTGCGTGTGAATTTCTATTTTACTCTTTCTCTATAAACCACCAGTGCAGCTAGTCTCCTGCATCCAAACAACATCAAAAAAATATCATAAAACAAGGACACTGCTCCGGATTGCTGGATCCGGAAGCGTTGTCACACATAGCCAAAACTATGGCGTCAAAGAAATCCCACATTTTTACCGTCACCTCTGAAAACCCCCCAAAACCCAGCTTAATCAGGCAATTTTTCCAAAAATGTTCCCATGCAGCATGACCTTCATTGACTGCACTGCATTTCTTAAGACTCTTTTCTAATGCAGGAGTGATTATGAAATTTCCTGTAGTTGTCCTGGCTCTTCTGTAATAGGTGTATTCCACGGAGAGAAATAGACTTCCTCTCAGCACACTTTTCCTCACTTGATTGTTCTTTGACAGAAGGGGAGAGGAATGTCTACAGATGGGTGAGAGGGAGATGAGGACACGATAACCCAGAAGTACTGACCACAGAATGAGATTTTAGGTTTTAGAGTTCCAACAAAATCATCACATTCCCTTCTGGCCGCAGCTTTATCATCCCCCTGGTTATTATCGTGTTTTATCTGCACGTCCTTTTCCTTTTATTGATATTCCTCCACTCCTTTATCCTCCGTCCTCCGAGCTTTCAAGTCTCGCTGCAGCAATTTGCCGCAATACCCCCCCCTCCCCCCTTCGGTTAAGGCACCCGAGAATGACCATGCCCGGGCGGCCTGGCCAAAAAACATGCAGTGTTTCCCGTCTGTGTTTGAATAAAGGGTGACTGTGCTCTGTCAGGAAAAAAAACAAAACCAAAACATTTTTCAAAGCTGTTCCTGAAAGTCCTTGATGTTATCCATTACATGGCAGAGTACTTTGTTCGTTATTCTCTATTCAAAACATTTTTCAGGCCCTCATGTTGTAGTTTAAATGTGTAAGCCAGGAGTATGTGTAAGGACTGGACACTTGTAGTACTAACTCTGTCACGTCTTAATTCTCCTTGGTTTGCCAAGGTATGGCAGCTTGATTTAAAAAATATACAGAGCACTCTCCAAAACCCAGGCTTTGTAGCTGCAGATTTTTTACTTGATTTTCAGTTTATGGTCCCTCTAAGTCATATTTGCAAGTATTTACTGCTGCTACTAATACAATGATCATGTAGAGCAGTGATTCCCAACCACTGTACCGTGGCCCAGTAATGTGCCCTGAGAGATCACCAGGTGTGCCGTGGGAAATTATTCAATTTCACTAAATAGTTCGGAAAACGATTATTTCTTTCCTGCAAATAATTTGATTGTGTTCGTCAGCGACAGGCATAACAATGAAATAGTCTTCCACTTGGTGGCAGCAGAACGCTATAAAAACTAAAATAGGACAGACTCAGAGCTGTTAAAGAAGATTTTCGTGTGTGTCTTTCTTCAATTCCTGTGACAATATTTGGGTTGTGTTCAACTAAATAGGCCCAGGTTTTAGTTTGTGGCATTTTCGTTTGCTGGTGTGCCATTGGCTTACCTAATGTGGCTCAAAAAGGTTAGGAAACTGTTGTAGAGTACAGAGTAGCAGGGGCGTCGATAGCAGGAGCATCGTATTGGAATAAGACGTCTTTGTCAAGACACTGTGGGCTGAGAAGTACACTGTGTATGTGTGTGTTTCCATCCACAATGTTAAGTGTTTCCAGTGTCTCTTCCGCTCTGTGTATATGTACAGTATGTGAGACAGCCACTGTCCACATGCTGCCGTCAGAACATACAATAATTTACAATGTTTTTCAAAGCCCACGTGGAGAGGATGTGAGTGCACTGTTGGTGCTCTCTCTCTCTCTCTCTCTCTCTCTCTCTCAGCCTAACCAACACATCCTGCCCATGGGAACCTCGGACCCCATGATCTGGAAATGCAACCCTGCATACAGAAACTCAGTTTCCAAAGCTCGGTGCCTAAAACATCTAAAACTTAGATTATTTAAAACAAGATTCACGCCAGACATTCAATAAATCACCGATAAATCACATTAGATTTTTTTCTCCCTCCTCTTGTTTTTCTTTACTACTTTGCTACTAAAAACCTTAGTCCACACTAAAGCTGCCTTCAGGAATCAGGAGCAGCAGGGTTTCATGGACTCCAATGATTTTCCACATTGTGAGTTAAAATATAAAAATACTAAAAGTCTTTAAAGATCACCACAAGTAGTAAAGGAAAAAAGAAAAAAGAAGCAGAGACTGAGTGAAATTAAAGCGGGAGTGAGGTTACACCTGTTAGCGCAACTGAAGAGGAGGCTGGTGGAGGATCATCATTACCATCTGTTGCTGTTGTTAGCAACACACAACAATAAACAAGGAAGCCTGCGCCGCTCAGACCCAGAGCTGGTCGGAATTAGGCAGACAAATAAACTTACAACATTTACTGAGAGATTTTTTTATAACAGGCGTTTAGATAGTGGTTTTGAGCAGACATGACTAACAGGGGTCAACTCCAGAGGCCACACAAACGGTTCCCGTCGTCGTAGAAAAAACAAAACAAAAGTAAGGTGACAGACAAAATAAATCTGTCTTTGTTTTTCTGTATTTACAACCTGGTGACTTTATTAGTTCAGCGAAACTCAATGCAAGAGGCAGGAGCAGGGATCTTGCTAACGCAATTACGTATTGTGTTATAAGTTTGAGTTTCTGTGCGAAGATTTCTGGTTTCTCTTTCTCTTTAAAGCGTCTTAAATTAGGCGGTACATTTTACAAATATCTATGTCACGCAGTGACGTGATCCAAATCGTATAAAAGTAGGAATATTGGTGGAACATTTCATTCTAGACACTGGAAATAGAGTGAGCCACCTTACCTACTTTTTCCAAAGCTTTACAACATTTTGTTTTCATCTGACCAGCCTTTTTTTTTCGATTGAGGTCAGAGAAGGACAAGTGAAACCTCTTTGATTTGATGACAATCATTAAATATAGTGGTAAGCTCCAAAACTTTTTTTTAACTGAGAGAATTCATGGAGATACCGTGACTGGGAAGATTAATAAGACCAGAGCAGAAAAAATACTTAGGAAAAAGTCGTAAGGTATGGATTACACTAAATTGTAACATATGGCTTCATTAAAGGTTATTGAGTCGTTCACGTATGTCATGTGAACAATTCTTAGGTCTGGTAATCCAATAACACAGATTGCCAAGTTGTAAAAAAAACATTCAATCTCGGTAATTCATTCAAACTGAAACTATTTTTTCTTTTGATGATTTACGACCATGTTGACATGAATTTAACGCCCTCGAAAGGTGATAATAAAAGAAAAGTTACATGTTGAAGCGTTTCCACGCTTTCCCCATCAGTACGGAGGCTCTCAGCGAAACTTTTAGTCGCCACAGCAAACCCTAGAAAAAAACAGCCTGCGATGAAAACAAACAAAAATCATAGCCGACTGAGGCCTAAGTCCTTCTGCTGAAAAACCCCACCAACACAAGTCATCTATTCATTCCAGCCAATAGACTCTCTTAATCTTTCTAATTAGAACAAGGTGCACGCCGCTGCTGAAGGTAAAATGATCGAATTATTCCATCAGTGGAATAGACTGAAAGCTGAGCACAAACACACACACACTAAAGTTCAAAATCTAATCGTTAGGGCAAGGAAATGATCTCTACCTATTTTCTTTGAAAGCCCCTGATGAGAACCAGAGTAGCGCTACAGACTGAAAACCTATTATAATTATTATCATTTTTATTACTATCTGCCTGCTGCTGCTGCAGCACAGGGACGACTGAGCATGTCATCATGCAGCATCCTTGTGTTGTCTGCCGCTGACGGTCACGGTCTGACCATTAGTCAGGAGTTACTGTCACCGCCAGCTGAGTCATTACGCCCGTAGATACGCTGCATCTGCGTCATCGAATAATTCGCATTGCTGGGCGTGCAGTTATGTGGCTTTTTCCGCCAAAGCTTTTGACCACATGTGAGATGACCAGCGCTTCAGTTGACACATCTAATATTAGCATCTCAGATTTAAGACGCCGCGTCGGACATCAGACGCGACAAGGAGCGAAAGCGCATGCTATTGGACTTACATGTCCGTCTCTCAAATAATTCCGGCCTTTTTATAATGT